CTTAATAGAGTTTTTACTTATCATTAGGCATTGTCATTTATTTTTACTATGACACGGCAAAAACTCCTTCTATAATCGTATATTATTAAGGTTTTGCAAAGTGAACAGATGAAGCTAACAGAAGGAAGCAGACTGAAAAACCTTAACATCTAAGGCAAGCTATAATGTAAAAGTATTTTTGTCCTTTTTCTGACCTTTCCTAACTGTTATCTTGAGCTGAGTTATTGTTAAGTTTCAGATCCTTGAGTTCAGCACTTTTTACCTTTTTCCTGCAATCTATGTTGTAAGAATCAAGACATGCTTCATTCTGACATCAGCTCTAATCTCATCAGAAGGTCTTTGATCTGTTATGAGGAGGATACAGCCATGCTTGGAAGCTAGTCTGAGAAATTTAAAAATATTTGGAGCCAAACGTAGCTGGTATAACTGGGGATCCAACTTTCAGGGAGAAGTAGCTTTAGATTCTTCCTGAATGTAAAATTTTGAGCAGCTACAACAGCCAGGATAACATGTTTTTTTTTTGTTGTTGTTATTTTAATATAATATTTCATGACTGTTAACTGCTTGTCTTGCTCTCTTCCACTTTGTTACGCATGATTGAACTTCGGCCATTTTGGACAAAGTAAAGTTTCCTTTTCCCTCTGTGCTTTTATCTTATTGATACTGAAAATCGCCAACTTTGAAACTTTGTGTTTGCTGATCTGATAAAGATCAGAGGTTCCATATTTTACCAGCAGGTCCTTAGTTTTGTGCAAATCAAGCTGAAAATCCAGAAACAACCATTTGTTGGAATTCATCTCTCATTTATATCATTTTGTTTATTAATTTATTTACTTTTTCATAATGTTGCAGTCTCTTAGGTATGTAAGTAGGGGTGTAGATAATAATCGTTTTGTATCGATCCAACAGCAATTGATTCATGTTTTTTATTCCTCCCGTCTATTTTTATCCATTTGCTCCTGGATGTTATTCTGACTCCTGTGCTGCGGTGGTGCTAAACTTATTTTGTCCTCCTACCTCACTTCCTTTAGCCACTACCCTCTACCTTTAACTTGCAGTATTTTTTGATGCAAGTGCTTTCAGAATCTATAACGCAGGGGCATTATTATTTTTCAGTAAACAAGGTTTTCATTGGCCTAGGCTGAGTACAACTTTGCTACTTCTGTTATTTGCTGTTTCGTAAATAAAATGCATAACGATATTACAGCTTTCATTCATTTATTTCAAATTTGAAAAATTTTCTAGCCTGTAAGGTAAAAAAGAAAATTAACCAATTAATCGAATCGTATCGTGGTGTATTCTTAAGTATCGTAAATAATCGAATCGTTGGTTCAGGAAATTGATACTGAATTGGATCGCCATGATGGGTTTGATTTACACCCCTAGTCGTAAGCATAGTGCATTGCTTATCAGGAACATGAGGATAAAATTCTGCTCTCTTGGGCTCTTTCAGTAACCACCAAGGATCTTCTCATTAAAAAAAAACTTCATAAGGCCTCGGGGCTTAAAGGGACGGGCTCAGCCTTTCTATGTGATGGAATATGCATAAGATGGCATCACTACTGTCTGGGAATGCAAATTGGAATAGTTATTTTTCCCTCCGGAGGATTGCCATGGGGTTTATGTACATGGCCTTATTCTCGTTTAACTTCCTTGCTTAATCAAGAAAAACCTCACTCCCCTAAGGGCAATTCCAAGTTTGCTCTTCAACTCCTCCTTTTTTCCATCTCTTCATCTTTGTACACATATACACATGCGCACGCACCTCAGAGGCTCATAAAGCACATCCAAGCTACTGCAGTATGATTATTCATATGGCAATGAGGCTGGATTGAGCCTGCTTGGCTGGCACAGCCTGATAGGAGGGTTTCCGGATGATGACTTAAGAGCACTGCATCTTCTCACCCAAGAATGGGGAATTTAAACTTAATCAGGGCAAGCACCCATCCATTCTCTCTTTTCCAGCGAGCTCGACAGAGTAGAGGCCAAATTGAAAATAGAAAGATGGAGACAAAAGTCAAAGTCTAGGCGGCAACATGCCCGCTTCTACCCTTTGTTTTCTGTACCATGAGCTCAAGGTTTTCTCCCATGAGCGATGTGTTTCTCCCAGGGCATTTAGAGAAGCAATTCTGTTTCGCCTGAAGGGGAGGCATTAGTAAGATTAGCTTTCCTGCACTCGATCAGACCTATTGAAACCCTTATATTTTACTAATTCCATATCCCACACATTCGCAGTTCCCAGATTTTCTACACACAATGGTTGCCGCCCATCCATCAGCCTGGAGGGCATCAGGTATGTTTCAGTAAAGCCCGGCCAGTTTTTCGGTCAGCCTCCCAGCCGTCAGCCCTCCTCTTTTTCCACGGGCCATGGTCACATTAGGAGGAGGAGGCAATGATGGTTCCTGATCAATAAAACATCGACTGCATTAAAGCTCATGAATAAGTCATAGAGGGAAGGAACCCAGTCTTTGGGACACACGCATGCACACACAGAGGGAAATTGGCTTTTATTTAGAAGGGAGAAAATGAACAGACACAGAAAGCGAGTCGAGCTTGAAAGAGGTTTATCAGGCATTGACTGACACTTTGTTGTAAAGCTCCTTTCTTTCCCTCTACCTATCAAACTTACAGCTTTAGTCTCACATAAAAGTCATTTTTCTTGTGAGAATTACAGAAAGTTCTTTCATCCCTGCATCCAAAGGCTTAGGAAAGACTGCTTAAATGTTGTTTAGCTCTAGGTTTCACCATACGGCTCTATGTGTAATTTATTTTTTTCTCCCCCAAAGGAAAAAGGAACTGATTTGTTATGAGATTCAAAAAATAATTGCTGCTCGCCCACACATTTGCTAGGGTTTTACCAAAAACGTCACCTCCGACAGCTGTGAGGGAGACTGAGGATCAACTCAAAGCAGATTTTTCTGAGCTGCTTTTTGCTTTGAGTTTTAAAAAGTAAAAAAAAAAAAAAACTGAACCTAATAGATGAGAGTCTAAGTTGCAACATTGCCAAGATAAGGATCATAGCCTTCTAATCTAAGATGATTATACACTGTTTTATCCTTTATGTGGATATAACTTAACATTTGTATTGGAAAGTGAATAACTTTGTCTTAATTCATAAAGCACAAAGGCTGAGCTAGAAAAGGCAAAGGTACAGGTTACAGGAAAAACAATTAAACCGGTTAACTTGAAACATCAGAAGAAAAAACATGAAACTGAAAAATAGATGCTCGCATTATGATAGAACTCAGGGAACCTAGTTACGGTTTAAAGAAAAAAATCAAAGGTTGGTTTGTTCTAAAAAAAAAAAGCCCAATCTCCTCTAAACAGCTGAGTGCCTGAGGACAAACATATGGCTGGATTAGATTGGAGAGACATAAGGGTGCAAGGCCATTTAGGCATTTATAAGTCAACAGGAATGAATGTATTTGAATTTGAATGTATTGTTTGACCCACAGTGAGGCAGTCAATGAAGGATAAAACCATGTGCTGAAATATACTAATTCCTGCTTAAATTCAGATTATGAAATCAGCCCCACAGTTTCACAGAGCACTTGGATGTCATGGACATTTCACAGAGCACTTTTCAACTAATCATTCAGTAGAAAAATGAATATTAAAGTGACAAAGAGAGGACTTGTTGAAAGAGTCCGGCATGCAGAGAATTGTTCCATTGGAAACACTATCATAAAAGACAGTGGCAGCATCCTCCTGTGTGGATGAATCTGGTCGGAAAAGGCAGTGGGGCTGCTTAGAGGTCATAGAAACATGGATGGAGCTTGAAAAATATAACCAGACCTACAATGGCCTAGTTAGATCAAAGCATATACATAAAATTAAATGGCCTAGTCAAAGTCCAGACAAATAAATCCTTGAGAACCAGGACTTGTTCTGGTATAGCTCTATTTATAGCTGGCAGAAATAAAACATCCTAGAAGACCTGATTATAAATATCGACATACATTTTAGATGTAACTGCAAATCCACATAATGTTTTTCTTGGTAAATGTATTGAGCTTAGTGTTTGTGTAAATATATGTCAAGAAGTTTAAGCAGAATACTGTACTTTTTTTCATTCTTCAGATTTAATAACACCTGAAAGTGCCTGACCTCTGGCAAAATAAAAATTGTATGGAAATTTGAAGGATTATTCTTATAGGAGTGCTATTCAGCATTCCTGCATACGCTGCTCTTCTCTTGAGATTTTGATTGTAGGCTACATTGGTTGCTCCTTCGAAATGTATAATAAATGATGGGACAGAAAAATCTTTTTTTCCCTGCCTGTAGATATATGAGAAACAGGATTACTCAGAGAGCAGCACTTGAAAAACCCTTTTAGCAATCCTGCCTTCACCTAAATTGTGTTCCATGGGGTTCATCCTTTTAGACTTCACAGATTACTTAAAAAGTAACTGTCTAAAAGCTGTAAAAACATTTGGAAATTTACCACTGAATGGCATCTTACTAGAATTTTTCTCAATATAATTTCCCTTAACAGCACTGCAGTCATAGTGTGAATTGGAAAGTGTTTAGAAAACGCTGCTGACATGCAGCCTTTTGAAGGTGGAATATACTGCTATAATTGTATATATATAAAATGACTGGAAAAGAGAAATTCTAGGAGTTACCTTTCACGGAGCAGCAGGGCTCTGCTGCCCTCACTGCACTGTCCAATTAGAGCATATGATTAGTGTAGCCTGTCTGAAGTGAAATTGAATCTATCAGCCCGGCTCAGACTTCCACAGGTCCCTGCAATTCAGCTATCACTTTGTCTCTGTCGCACTAATATAACAGTGGCTGAATGAATGATTTCTACTTAAGGCAACGCTTGATTGAAGCTGATTACATTTCGCAAAGGTTTATTATATTTCCATAATTTGTCTGCATGGAGCTTGAGTTTGTGTTTGTGCCACATGCAGGTTGTTGTGAAAGAAAGAAGGGAAAACACAGCAGTAGTACTGCTACCTATTTGATGTTTATCTGTTTTGTTTTTGGTCTTCCAGAGTGCCAGAGCCAAGGGCAAACCCCATGGACCCGAGGGACCTTGAAGACAATGATTCTGGACCATCTATGGACCACGCCCCGTGACTGGAGCAGACCAGACTCCTCATGCATCCACCTGCCCTTCACGATCTGCTTCACCCCACCGTCAGACCAGTGGAGACGTCTGGCCAGCCTCTTCTCTGTCAGTCATTTTCTGTACCTCCCTCTCATTCTCTGCCGGAGACCTTGAAAGGAGGCTGCAGGGACAAATATGGATGGCCACATCTTTTCAACATTCAAACTTTATTAATTCCTCACTTGCTACAAACTTTCTTTAATTGAAGCAGTCAAGTAATGTGCTATCAATTACAATCAGGCTCAATTTCCACAGCCTCTCAGATCTTACTGGGGGCCTGGCTGACTTAGAGAGGAGCTTTGGCAGGCAGCTGTGCAGAGCATCTGTTAAGCTCCACAGATGTCAGAAAAACAAAAGTATAAAACAGTGATTTATAATCATCTATTTGGAATAAAATTCTGTTTAGACTCTGCCGTTCTGCCTTATATCTTTTCTAGAGATGATATTACATCTACAGTTGCACTGATCAGGCGTTGTTTGGCCAAAACCAGTTTGAAGTTTTCTTTAAAGTCTGGTCACATTTAATCACACCAGATCTGTTCGGGGGGTTTTTGTTCTTTTCTTTTTTGTTTATCTGTTTTTTTCTTCAAGAACTGTACAATATAAAAAAGAACAGATTTAAAGTTGTGCTGCAATTTCATTAATAACTGAACTAAAGGTGAAGGAATTATAAAAATCATATCCATTTAAAGTTAGGATCAGAGATTTACATACTGTCACTGTATGATAACTAAAATATTTAGTATCATCTTTGAATTTAAATTGCACAAAGCTTTTTAAAATGTTGCAGAGCGCGCCTTAAACTGTATGACTATGGCCAGATGTTTTGTTTTTCCATTTTCACAATAGTTCTGTGAATTTTTGGCCCATTCCTCCTTATAGAACCGATCTAAGGAGTTTGTTTTATTTTGCTTCTTATTTTTTTTTGCTGCTTGCTTTTTTTCTGGCTTGTTTGTTTTGGTACTAAAATGGGGCTTTGCGATGGCCGCTGACTTTATTCTTCTTAATCCGCTTTATTAGTTATTTGGTACTGTGATGAGGGTCATTAGCTGTTTCCTTTCACAAATGTCAGCAAAACTATGTCCAATTTTGAAATTGCGGTATTTTTATTAAATAATAAACACAATTAAAATTGCAAATGGATATTTTTATAAATGTGATAATTTTGAAAACAAAATGGCGCCTCTATTGTAGATATATCCGTATCTTAGCCTCAGCTCTATTGGGCTCTAACTATTTCCAGTCCTCTTCCTACAAGGCAGTAAGGTCCAATTATAGATCATGTGACTCGAGTTATGCGGAAAAAAAGTTTTTCCATTGCAGTTTTGTAAAATATAAAAACTATTGAGAATTATTGTAAGTATTATTGGAATCACACCTAATGTCTATTTGGAAGACGCATTTTAGTCAAGCTTTTAATTGATTGTTGCTTTAGTGCGTCTATATTCCTCTATAGTCATCTTTCCTCCTTCCTATATTTCAAAGTAACCAAAAAAAATACTGTCAGGTAGTCAGTAATTTCCCTCTGGTATTATAAAAGTATTTCTGATTCTGATTCTGAAAAGGCTGTGTCTACAGTGCATTGTATGTGAATATCTGATTTGGGGCTGTATGCATCAAAGCATATGCCCCTAGTCATTGGCCGGTCACCAGTATTAAGGTATACCAAGATTTTAACGATGGTAAACTTTCTAAAAGCCAACACAGCTTTACTGGTTTAGTTGATATATAAGAGAAAGTGTCAATGAAGTAACTAAGTGTTGATGCGCACTGCTTCTCATTTGGCTGAAAGATGATTCTGTTTCCTTGCTTACAAAAAAAGACAAATTTGGCAGTTTGGAAATATTGACAATAATGCTATGGAAACAGGATTGCCACCAATATTCACTCCAGTCTCTTCATCTCATTTATTAACTATCCATAAAATAGCATCATATTCCCTAATTTCTTGCATTTATTAGACCTAATTAAGGTAAACTGCCCATTTCTGGTTAAGTGAATATTGCAGCTCTATTACATCAATGTATAAGGGTTTTATTGGGTTGGAATAAGGGAAACGAATAAATGGTGTGTTGTTCTCCACCAAACTGTGGCCTTCACCTATCTATTTGCTGCATATGAAAGATTTTTTAGATTTGTTTACAATTGGTCTTGTTTGTAGCTGATATTTTATCACAATCATGTTATGTTCTGATGTATATTGATTGTTAAATGTTGCTGAGTCTTTTATTAGATAAAATCAAACTTGTGTTTAACTGTGCAACAACAGCCCCTCTGCATTTATCAGCTCTGTGTGTACTGTAGTGTAAAGGCTCAGTACTCTCCACCCGTCTGCAGCGAATGACGGATTGCCGTCCAGCGATGCGTTTGCACTTTTACCTTGACCTGCTGAGTTGCAAACATCACTCATTATGCATTGCCACAGTTTTGTGTACATATCAGCAGTTTGTTTTTATTTTGATTGATTTTGTTGTCTTAAAATCAGAAACAAGGTGCTGTCATTAATGATAGGTGGGATGGGTTTTACAAGAATGATTTTACTATAGTCGTGCTGCTCAAGGATGCACTGAAGTTGTAGATCTACTTAAGGGAATAGTTGGAGTTAACGGCCTCTTGGAAAATAACGACAAAATCTTATTCTGTATATTTACTTTGACATCAAGAAAGAGTCTGATTGTCTGTTTCCTTCTGTTTTAATTTGTCTGTTTTGGTTTTTAAATCAATAAATAAAGAGCCTGCTTCTTATACTGGGAATAGAACATGACATTTCTGTTTCCATTTTAGGAAACATTATTGTGCTTTATTTGTCACATGCAAAAAGTCCGAAAACAGCAGAAAATAACATTTGTCAAGCAAGTCAGTGGTATCAGCGAAAACCCCTTCCAGCCATGTAAGGTTTTTCTATGATTGATGGAGACAGGAAGAGTGATGAAGTGGCTTAAAGAAGAATTCAGGATGTAGGGAATTTCAAGTTCTTTCTTCATTAAAATTCAAAGCAGCAGCGCTTCCAGATAGGACTGGGAATAGGAGGTTTAGGGAAAGAGAGAGCTGGAGCGATCCTTGGGGTTTCTGCCACTCTCTCTCCATCTCTGCAAGTGCATTTAAATGTATACCACACTCTTGCCTCCACATAAGCCAAAAGTTATGTTGATCAACTCCAGAATTCAATCTGAAAGCCTTTGCATCTCTGCTGTTCGTCTTCTTTCTCTTACCTTCAAGAAATACGCCATCTGGCACGCATTAGCATCCCACCTGCTCTCTACCTGAGCTCTTTCATCCTGCCAAGAAGTTCTTCTCAGCCTATAATTGAGAAACCGGCCCTAACATATTGATTCAGGGAGACACGTTTAGCCGTCGCTCTTTGCTGCCCTGGTGGTAACGGACAATTTGGCATCCTCTAATGACTTCAACTGGAGTACCTAGGGGTCCACAGTCTAGTATTCATCTGACCCACACCCGGCACATTTAAACCTCCTTGAGTGGATTTCTCCTGCCGTGGACTGTTTGCAGCAATGGTCAGAGACGTGGGAAAAATACTTCTTTTTTTTTGTTGTTTTTTACTTCATTAAACATGTAGATCGCCTGAGCTACCCAGTAAATACATCTAGGGGACAAGTTTGAGAAAAGACCCGGCTGATTTAGAGGCCTTTTTTAAAACTGAATAATTATTACAATAAAACTGTTTTTGCTCTGGTGATTTCTTTCTGATATTAAAATGTATTCAGAGATTTAAATCTTTTAAGTACGGGGGGGGGGGAGCAAAAGCAGAAAATATCCAGAAGGAGAGAACTACTTTGTTGTAGCATGTGTGCCTTCAAAAAGAGAGTAATCTTCCACTCCATATGTTCATTTCTTACGCCCAAAGCAATAATAAGAAACTTGACGGGGGGACAATGTGCCTGTTGTCAGTGGAGGAAATGGAGAGGAGAAGATTGTCTGATCTCATTTAGGCTACCAGACCACAAGGTTGTTGTTGTTATTTTTTTTTTTCCCCTCCACACCTAATTACACCTGCTCTTCCAGGTCCACATCACTGAGCATGTTCACACAGAGGCACAAGGATGAGCAAATAAACAGAAGCACAGCCTTAAGACCTTCTACTCTCCTGATGGGGCCAAAAAGGACTATTTGTGTGTTTGTATTGACATAAATTAATTGCTTCATGGCTTGTGAGATTGAATTAGCTACGTGACATGCTTGCTAGTAGTGATGCAGCTTTGATTGCTGCCTTTAATAGAGCCTGTTTCTCTTGCGTCCTTTCTAGATGGGCTGAGTCTGTGGCGTCACAGTAATAGAGCAGATAAAAAATCGCTATGACAGCCTTAATGATTCTGTTTATTAGAGGGAAAGAGATGGTGAAAATGCAGATTTCTCTACTAAAAACACAAGCTTAGATGAAAGTGTGCATTGCATTTGCACTCTGCTCAAGAGTCTCTAATCACACACTAAAAAAAAAATTTTTTTTTTTTTTTTTGTTGCTCTAAGCCACAACTACACAGATACAACTTCACGATTTGTATCACTCAAGAAAATGTACTGCTCGTTTCACAGTTTTTTTTTACCCATGAATTAAAAGGAAAATGAAAGTTGCGCATCTGTGGAGAATTTATTTTAAAAGACTTAAACTATATAGAATGATAAAATTCAGGATTTCACTTGCTGTAACCTCAGTCAAGTAAAAATAGCTCACTACAACTCATCCAGTGTTTGGAATAAACAAATTTGATAAATCTGCCATTTGACAATGTAATAATGTTAAAAGTAGCTTAAGTCTAGCACTCTTGTTAAAAAAAAAAAAAAAAAAAAAGGAAAAGCATCAGCAATATTGTTTTTTTTTTTTTTTTACAGTGTTTGGCAATGTGGCAATAAAAATTATTGTCTTGGTGAAAAAGAGCCCAACAGATTTTACTTTCAGAAGTGGAGCAGTACGGCTATCGCCATAGTGTTCCGCTTGATTTATGCATATAAATTGCTTTATTATAATTATGTAGGGAGTTTTACAGATTACACAGACACTGCAATGTAGTTACTTTCTCACATTTTGTAATGTTACATTAAGAGACATTATGTATTTTATCAGAACCGTAGCAGGCATGTGACCAGATAGAGCACTAGCGGTGTTCAAAGACTTGACCTTTTGCCCTGGATAAGATAAGTATTTCCCCTTTTTGTATTTGTTGCAACCAATTTCTTTCTTTATTCATCAATATTTAAAAATAAAGGACCCTCTATGTCATCAATCTCTCTCAAAGGTATTTTGATAACTGACTAGAACTGTGATCACAGCATACAAGCCCCTCCTTCCTTATGCAGTGCTGAGTAGAAGGCCAAACTCCTCTGACCCAAAGCATCAGACATCCAGGTAATGACAGTGTTTGTGCATAAAATAATGCAATACTTAACTTTGTATTGAAAATGTTATGTGGATGCTATCCCAAAATGCTCATAAAAAAGGGGGGGAAAGGATAAGGGTGGTGGGTTCTCTGTTGGCTGTAAAAAATTGTTTTTCTACTGTTTTTCTACACAGGTGGTTCTTAAGTAGGTGCTGTAAGAAAAACTATAAAGGTTTGTGGGACCTTCATGTTATGTAGACTAAAGCTTCACATTTGCTCAGATTCAGAGATGGAATAGCACCTGTACAGGGTTACAATCAAATGTGTTTTTGGAACATTTTTAAAGCTATCAAAACCATATAAATGTAAAATCATTGCAAAGAGCAAATAAATCTAATAATTTGTTTAGGACACATCTTAAAACTTGAAAATATTTTATTTATGGTACATTTTTGTTGTGTGATTCTGAGGTTGTAGTTTGTTAAAAAATATGTAAAACAATGAATCCGATTAATCAAGATTAATTAATTATCGAAATAATCATCAACTAATTTAATAATAGATTAATTATTAACTGAAGTATAGTGACTCTAAAACATGCCTTTACCTGACAAAGTGAACCCACTTAGAGCAGTAATTATACTAAAATTGTTTAAAAAATATCAACATTTTTAATTTAAGATAAAAAAAAAAAAAAACATTTTCGTTTATCAGTATGCTCTATCCAGGACTCATCAAGTGGAAAAGATTTGGTTTCACCAAAATCTTCTTTAAGGAAACTTTGGCTATCAGATTATTAATACATTAATCAAAAAAATAAATCTATTAATCGATTAACAAAATAATTGCTAGTTCCAGCCCTAGTATGATAAACACTGTGTGTAAAGCAAACCAACTAATCTACTTTGAGAAAAAAAAGACAAAAAGTGAAAGTCCAAATGCTCAAATCTATTGAGCTGAACTTAGAAGTGAGGAAACGTGTCCAACAGTGAAAGAGTTGAATAAGAAATGTAAGCTAAAGTATTCCTTTTTTTTTGGTGAAGAGTATGTTGTACTATTTAAATTCTTTGTTATGTAGGCTAATTAACTTAGCGGAATTTTACTATTTACTACTTATAAAAAAAATCATTTTTCTTTTCTACTTAAGAGATCTCAGGCACATCTGTGAAACCCTTACAGTGAAGGAACTATATTTTCTAGCTCATATTAGATCCAGCTGTATCAGGGAAGCGATGGAGATTGTGGCCCATCTCAGACTGACTGACAGTAGGCATCTGTCAAAAGTGGCAGGTACAGACAGCACTCTGGCATCCCAGACTCATGAACAATGACTGGGTGGAGATGAGCCAGTCCGTGGAATCCATCTCTGCTTTAGACAGCCTCCATCGCTCTTTGATACTCCATTCAGCAAAGATACCTTAAGGCTCCTCTCTCCGACCTCATGCAGTCTTTTCCAGCATCAGTAGTGTGAATTATAGAGGATGAAATGATGGGGTGAACTAAAGGGATATTGTGATCAAAAGACTCTTTGCAGCAACATTTGAAAAGAAAAAAGCGAAATGGGTCACAGTTCGTCAAATAACTCCAAGAAATATTTGTTAAATTAGAACCATAATATTTATCATTACATGTCTTCTACAGTTGCAAGGTTTAAAGTGTAATTTATGGTATACCTGATCAATTTAGCTGGCAAAGTTTTATGAAATGTAATATTTGTTTTTTTCAGTGTAAGCTAACATTTTTAGCAGCTTGCCTTAAAAAGAAAAACTTCTGGTAGGGAAATAAAGCTGGTAATTTCCAAGGTAATAACCGACGTTGATCTGGATGCCCTGGCTGCAGTCTGAAGAGAAACCAGGGTGCACTGTTTACTCCAGCCGATAATCAAACGTGCTTGTGAATAAAATGAACATTCCACACAGATAACACTTTGTCTTTTCCCTGTGAGAGCTGTAACACATTATGCTCCTTGTGTCACAGCTGTGATGAATCATCCCCACAACAAGGATGAATGCAGCATCTAGAAGAGTGGGAGGAAAACGATCGCATTTGCCGGCTCACTTTACACAATGTCAACACACACAAAGAGTCCTTAAAACTAAAGTGCATTATGTTTAAATTCTAGTATGAAAGTATGTTCCTGAAAAATGTGGCTTGAAAATCTTCAAGACCTGAAATCATTTAGTGCATCATAGCCTGCCAACCTGGCGATTTGTTTTCCTTTCCATCCTCTTTCGATCCTTCGTCATTCCTCTCATTATTCATGCTGTGTACACAGCCTGGCCATTACTGGTTGCCCAGGCTTCTCCAGAGCTTGTTAATTGTGTCGGTGACACAGGTCTGTGTGTGAAGTTGCAGCAGTAATTGCTCTAGACCGGCCAGAGGGGAGGAGGGTGTGGCTGTCTGGCCTGAAGGTC